CAGACTATTGTAGGGGTCTGAGAGCCAACACCTCGTCCATCTTCAGTCACTTCGCCCTCGTTAAAGACTGGATCAGCAAGAGGGGGCGTGTCTAGTTTGACTACTTGGTCTCAAGAGCAGGCATCCAATGAAAACCCACATGTGAATTCTCCATCTCCGTACTGAGAAAAGGCGTTCAGGTAAGACAACGCCCCTTTTCCGCTCAGGTTTTATGGATGCTAAATTCCAGGTTCGTTTTCTTCTACATTAGCATTAATTCACAGCATACACCTGCAGGTCAATGGGTGTTTTGTTTTTTCTGCAATCTTTAGAGCTCCAGAGCACATGTGCTTAATTAAGTTGCAGCCTCACTGAGCACTAAGTCAAGGCGCTAATAAAGAGTATAGCTCAATGTTATGCAAGACTAAGATTGTTATTTAAAAACATTGTACATGGGGAGAGCACAGTTAAGCCAAATGTAAAGGAATCTCTCCCTTTCATTTTTCCACTGAAATTGCACACATGCCTCTGCAAAGAATCCTGTGTATAAAGCTGAGTACTTGCTATTATATCCATATAAGTACTCAGCTTCATATATATATATAGGGGAGAGGGGCTGATTTCAAATCAGGTTTTTTGCATGGACAAGATTTTGGAAGTGGTTCGCTATTGCCTTCTTCTTAGGCCTAAGAGAGAGCAACTGGCCCAAGAGAAGAGCAACAAAGATGATTAGGGGACTGGAGGTTAAACATATAAGGAATGGTTGCTGGAATTGGGAATGTCTAGTTTAATGAAGAGAAGGATGAGGGGTGATATGATAGCAGTGTTCCAATATCTCAGGGTTTGCCACAAAGAAGAGGGAGTCACCAGTAACCAGTGGAACAACCTGCCTCCAGAAGCTGTGAATGCTCCAATACTGGAAGTTTTTAAGAAGAGACTGGACAACCATTTGTCTGAAATGGTATAGGGTTTCCTGCCTGAGCAGGGAATTGGACTACATGACCTCCATTATTATGTCACCCAGCTGTCTTTGTGCCTAAGGCAAGACTAGAACTGTCTCTAGTCTGGTGCATTAACCACAACACCAGACTGGCTGTCTATTTAAATAGCATGCCGTGACCAGATGATATGGATGCATGCTGTGCTTGCTTTGTAGAGGTTTGAATGGAGAAGTGCTATTTGAAGGGCCTTCCTTTTCTTGAGTTTTTTTGGTTTTTAAACTAAATGTGGATATTTAAATAAGACATTTAAACAGACTTTCCCAAACCTGGAGCTCAAATGCTTGGACAGCATCAGACTGAGGAAGGCTAAAATAGCAGACAACGTTTAAAAAATGGACTGAACTTGATGTCAAAATAATTAATGTATATATTTTGTTTTCTCTGACAATTAGATTTTATAGATTGTTTCAAAATACAGATATATAGGGCAGAAGATAGATCTGTACCATTGCAAACAATGCATTCTCAAGAATTGTAATTATTGTCTAACTTTCAAGTCTACATCTCTCATAGAGATCATCCGTGGCTTTGGGGTGGATTTCCATCAGTATGCTGATGATACTCAGCTGTACATTTCCACCCCAGGCCACCCCAATGATGCCCTTGACGTGATGGCCCGGTGTCTGGAGGCCGTACGGGTCTGGATGGGGAGAAACAGACTCAGGCTCAACCCTTCCAAGACTGAGTGGCTGTGGTTGCCAGCTCCCAGGTATGGTCAGCTGACGCCATCGCTGACTATAGGGGGCGAAACTTTGGCTCCCTCGGAGAGGGTACGCAACTTGGGGGTCCTCCTGGATCCACGGCTGACACTGGAAGACCAGTTGACGGCTGTGGCCAGGGGGGCGTTTTGCCGGGTGCGCCTGGTGCACCAGTTGCGGCCTTTTCTGGACCGGGATGCCTTGCGCACAGTCACCCATGCTCTTG